AATGTCTTTTTAGTCTACCAACTGGCGTGTCTACTTACATTAATATTTTAGTATTTACTATGAACTTTTCAGCAGACCCTCGTATATGCAATGACTCATCAAGAATATATCTTACAGTTTATGTCGACGAAATTTGGTGAAATTCATTTTTGTTTGCTAGTTTAATTACTTTATTTCAAATTAAAGAATGTTCTAACATTTATTTTGTCATCATTTTAACTGTTCGTTCGTTAATAATGATTTCTGACTATCATTTTGTATAAAGTAGGACGAGAACCGAAGATAAAGTAAAACAATAGACAAATAAAACATTGTACAAAATCAGTTGGATTCGGAATTTATAATTTCGGGTGGGAACAGATTCTGCTGCCAGAATAGAAATATGTAAACTAAGAAATCATTTGTCGATTTACAGCGGAAAATGGACAAAGAACAAAGAAAATATAATTTAAAAAATTATGAAAACAGAATATCCTTATCAGCGCAATTCATAGGAATTCTTTCTACTCAAGATAAATTACAGACTGCCAAGCTAAGGATTGTGTACAATACATTCAGCTCTCTGGTGCACAAGAGCATACATTTATCCGAGAAGGTATCAATTTTTACTGTCAAATGAATAAGATTTTATACTTTTTTGTTGGCCTGTGTGTTCATATGCGTGTGTGTGTGCGCGCATTTAAGTGTATCTGTATGTCTATTTGTGCATATGAACTTGTGCATGATATGCGTGAGATTTGTATTTGCTTGTAAATATATTTCGTTTGAAAACGCATGCATCTACATATGTACGCATGTTTGTGTGAGTATGTGCGTTTGTATGCATATCTGTATATATTTATGTATTCTTTACTTCTACTCTTCTGAAAAAGTTTCACTTTCTGTTTTGATGCTTGCATTAACAAAAACTAGCCAATACACACACAAGACCAGATTTATTAGGCACCCACTGAGAACGAAACTCACTATCAGTGGCTTGCAAAACTAGCACACTATCAGTCAGTGACACATGAAATGATGGTCACAGTTCTCAACTTCAACTACAATATTTTCTTCCAAAGATATTCGATAAATACGATTGCTTAAAGCCATCGGAAGAGATAAAGTAAATCTTTATAATGTTTCCGTTCTTACAGATTTTTACTTCAGATTTTTAAATTTTTTTTTTCAAGCTTAAAATGTTCGTTTTACTTTTTTGCATGCTTATTTTTGTGGTAGTTTGTTGAAGAGTTTCTTGGGATTTTTAAAAATCTTTTGAGTATTTGAATTTATGTAATGTTTGAATTTCACTCGCAAGATTAATGCACAGATATAAGGATTTTTACTTTCTGTCAAATCTTATTCATTATTATAATGAATTCTTGTTTTCTAGCCATTTAGTTTTACTGTTTTGAAAAATTAATTTGCAAAAACTCTTGTATTCACATAGAACCTTTACATGCACAGATAATTTGATTTATGAAATGATTCGTACAATCTAACTTTACATTGAGTAAAGTATTAACATTTTTGTTGCTTTTATCGAATCATTCCGATGAATGATTATTGTTACAATCCAAATGATCAATCAGTCCAGACAATTCTGTTGAAAGATCATTTCGACAATTCTTTTAAACAGGTGTCATGTCAAATCAACATAAATACTGCAAACCTCCAAAGTTCTCAATGTAGACACTAATTATAAATTCTGTTAAATTATGGACTGATGAAAAATCAATTATGGTTTCAAACGGGGTTATCTGTTTATGCTATTTCGAAGTTTTGTTTTCCACTTAAAAGCGACGATTTTAACAACAGGAATAACTATAGACTTTATACATGCCTTATGCAGTATTTTATCTTTACGGTGAAATCTAACAAATAATGGCTGTTTGTCGTTTATATTTAGAGATTTGTGACTTTGAACCCAAAATATCCACACCATTTTACAATTTTAAAATAGTTTATTTTAAAATAGCGTCTTAAATATTGTATTAAATCGACATGAATTCATATAGTACACATAGTTTTAATTATTTTCATAATATAAATTCTATCGAATTCTAGAAAATAAAGTGCCACTTAATACACTACAAATTTAACGTTTTTGTGAAAGTTTCCTTACGGTTAAAAAGAATTGAATCAACATCTAATCTAAAATTTATTGTAAAAAAATAAATATTAGCAGAATATTTTATACCAATTCTAAAATAATTTAAATAATGTATTAAATATGTTATACAATGGTTCTGGAATCCAATGCATAATAGAATTATAACATTCTCCAATTATTGGAAAATGAAAATCATGATTACATCAAGAAAAACACTTGTTTCAATAAAGAAAATTCTAATTGTGATTACCATTTGAGAAATACCCTTATTTTAGAAAATAAATATTCCAAATAAATATGTGCATAGAGATATGCATTGAAAGAATAAATACAACTATTTCAAGCTAAAATTTTTATTTTGTGTAAAATCATCATATACAATTCCAATTAATTTTTGACATTTAATGTTAAAAATGCCACTCAGTAACGTGTTCTAATAAATATGCAGTGTACACTCTGTACTAGAAAAGTAAGGAACTACAAGATGCCAAAGATTAATAATTACGTTTTATTTTGCTGATTTTAATAGTTCGGCAAAGTTAAAGTGTGAAATGTCATGACAATATATTTTATTTTTGCAAGCTTTTTTAATAAAGAAAATGACAGATTTACCAATATGGACGATTTTAGTATTGTCACTGATTATAAAAAATCGTTCCAATCAATTTAAATTCAGTTTGAAATACAGGAAAGTATTTTACTTATTGGAAACATTAAATTTAATCTATTAACTCGAAATAAAAACTAAAATAAAAGCTTCAAAAAAGATTTTTCATTTTTTAAAAGTGCATTTTAAACTTTAGGTATCACTTTTCTTTCGAGGTTTAATTTATGGTTGATATACAAAATTTAAAACTGTCTTCCTATCTAATCTGTAAAGTAGTAAAAGAAAATGAAAAGAAAGACTAATGGACTAATTGAAATGGAAACGGAAAATTGCAATGAATTTCGATTAATTTTCTAGTGGACAGTTTGTATATTTTTTAAGTTCCTGCGATGATTTTTTTCGCTAATTTAAGTGTTTCAAATCCATTTAAATTTTGTTTTTGCTTTACGATATTTTGATCATTTTATAGAAATCATATAAAAGTTATTGAAAATCAAATCTAAAATTAGTAGATTAGAATAAGATAAAAATATTAAAAATTTGCATGTAATTAAGGAAATCATTATAATTTTATTTTTGAATTTGTAAATGTGCCTCTCGAATCTAAATAAATCTTTGGTCTGGAATTTCAGATTAAACTCGGATATTTACGTAAGTATTTTACGCGATAAATGCAAATCTTGTTTTAAATTTACTGCTCGTAAAATAATTCTTGTTGTAGAATTTTCTTGTTTTACGAATTAAATATGTTTACCTTGAGTTTATAATCGGAATAATTATAATTTGTCTTCTAATCCAATGATGAAGCGTTCTAATATCTTCGCCTTTTAAGTGGGTTTGTGTATATATAGTGTTATTATGTCATATGTTCGATTATGTTGCCTATCTTTTCTCACTTTTCATATATATATATATATATATATATATATATATATATATATATATATATTTTAAAAATCAGAAGGTCATTTGAATGTGCTACCTTGGTTTCAACCGTACGATATCTTCGAACGGTTTTTATCAAATGACCTCTTAACGCTTTACTTAAAAAAAAAAATAATGGACTGTATATTTATTTGATAAATTTTCCAAAATAAATAAACAAATGCACAACGTTAGGTGCAATGGAAAGGGAGGAGAAGACACAGTTAAATTGGGCCACAGCTGCACAAATAATTTAGAAACAATAATAAATAGACAAAACGCCAGTAATCTCAAAACGAACGCGAAGCAAAATATAGTTAACACTAGCAATTTATGCAACTGTAGAAATAAGAATAGATGTCCATTAAATGGAGCTTGTAAAACAAGCTATGATTTATAAAGCAGAAGTAACAGATATTAATGGCCAAAATAAAACGTACATAGGATGTACGGAAGGTACTTTCAAGCGTAGATGATACGATCATAGGTCGTTATTTGAGCTAGCAAATCTTAGTTACTCTACCAAACTAGCTAACCATGTATGGAATTTAAAAATGAACAGGGATCCGATTTCCGCATCCAAAGAACATTTTAAAACCAGGAATCCGAAGTTCTTGCTTACATATTAGAAAATTTCTCTTAAGCGCATATGAGGCTGGATAAAAATGTAATGTACATTTCAATTAACTCCACCACCGATACATTTACAATACTCTTCTTCTTCTTCTTCTTCTTCTTCTTCTTCTTCTTCTTCTTCTTCTTCTTCTTCTTCTTCTTCTTCTATTACACCCAACGTCGTACGTTTGTTTATTTATTTTTGTAAATAATAATATAGCGTTCATTAGATTTTTTAAAATAAAGGAGGACATTTGATAAAAATTGCCTGAGTGTACCGTAAGGTTGAAACCAATGTAGCGAATTCAACTGACCTCCTGATTTTTAAAGTTAAACGTTATACATTTTAGTTTTATTTTTACTCGTGTACTAAACACTTTTAATACTGCTGTTTCCTGGTCTGATTATTATATATATATATATATATATATATATATATATATATATATATATATATGCAAAAATCATAAAATCGATTTTTGACTTTCATAAGAAATGCTCAGTTGACCCTACACAATCTTCCCTGACTCCTACATAATCCTAGACATTATCTAATCCTACTGCATTATACCAACCCCCAACCTCCTCCTCATCATTATTTCTTTGCTTCACAAATGAAAGTACAGCAGAAGCTTCTAAGTAGATTGAATGTCTCAAAAGTCAATAAGACCCCATATGTATTTCCACAGCAGCTGTAGCAAAAGGAAACTTCCGTTCTAATTATGAGATTTTTTCATATTGGGAAGTTGCTTGGTGGTCATTATGTTTCTCTGTCGGCTGATTCGGTCACCTAGTGGCGCTAATCGATTCCACAAGAGTCCCTGTATCTTTTCGGTAGCGACCTTCTATTTCTTCCGTCGGTGACCAGCTCGTCAAACAGAAAAACAATAGTCATCCATCCGCGCCACATATATGCCTTTTGCAGCAGAGCTGACCCAAGGACTACAATTTGAGCAACAAATTTACTTCAATGCACTGTGAGACAATACTGATCGAATCCTTCAAGTGAAGATGTCCCAGGATTCCTCCATCAGCTAACCGAGGCAGACCGTTCTCCTAATTTTACTGAAGTGCAAACGTTCGTATCAGTTTCGAGATTAACGTTTACAATATTTATTTTACACAAAGAGCTATTATAAACATCATCTCACGTTCCTTTCATCAAACTTTAGAAGTGCATATTAAGAAAAACGAACTTATGTATATGTGTGTGTGTAAATGTATTGTACTGAACATATGTATGTCTACGACTGTGTGATAGAGTCATTATGTGTGGTTAAAGGCCTTCAGTATGTGCCAACGTGAATAACGTGTTTTTTTTTTTTTGTTTTGTTTTTTGTGTGTGCGTAAAAATAAAGCTAAATGGATGGGACAAAAATACAGTTTGTTTTTAAACAAATTAAAAGATTTAGAAAAAAAAGAACGTCATTGTCTAATAATCACAGGACAAGAACATAGAACTATTTGTATCGTTTTTATTATATTACTGCAGATTCCGACACGCTGCTGTCAACGCATTGCTGGGGCGGAGGAAGACTACCAGACGTCATAGTGCTGGACATATTGATCCCGTGTCAAACTATGGAGGTAAATAGTTATCACATCATTCTGTGTTAAATTTTCTTTTTTCTATTTTGTTATTTATTATTTTCAGGTAGAATGGAATTTTCACCTTTCAGTTTCCGTTCGCAGCAGCCGTCTGTACGTATTTCTCCACAAATATAACCTAATTGAAAGCAAGATTTTTTTTGTTTCTACTTGATATTTTTATACGATCTCCATCTAATTTAAAAGGAAAACGGAATTAGTATATCTATAATATAATGAATAGACTTAAATGATATTAGTTTTGGGCATTGTGAAGATACTTCTGTACATTTTGATGGCTAGAGAAACAAAACCTAATTTGACAAACCATAAATCATTATTGTGCTTTTCATGAAAATTTTACTTACTGTGGGTTCAAGTATATATCATACTCGTGCTTACAAATTTGTATATTTTTGTTGTTCATATATATATATATATATATATATATATATATATATATATATATATATTAAATGTTAAGACGATTGTATTTTTGTGCAATATAGGTGTCTATATTAGTGTTGCGTGTTGCTTTGAGTCTGTGTCTGTAGGTGTGTAATTCTTATATATGCATGGTTTATTTTAAATGTATATAGATGTATGCGATGTTATAAGGAATTTATTGTCTTTCTCAAAGAATGTCAAGAAATTTGTGAAAGTTCCGGCGAGATACGAAAAACTCTGGGTAACTTGAGAAAGATTAATCAATCTGTTCAAATTCTCAAACTTTCGGTTGCATTTTGTATTTATGTATATAATAAAATAGACATAATATATATATATATATATATATATATATATATATATATATATATATATATATATATATATATAAACCGACGTTTGTGCGTGTCTGTGTTGTGTGTGTGTGCATATAAAGATGTTTTATATAGAGAGACACACACTACTGGGCTGAATAGAAAGCAAGGATTTGACAGTCGCCATTTGTTGTATTTGTGCCATTGTATTCTTAATTTTTCATATTTTTTTTTTTGTATCTCCCATTTTGAAAGGCTCTGCACATAAGTGGGTTGATCTTATGTACATGAAAGGGTGGTCACCTAGCAGCGGAATATGTACAGGTAAGAGCTGTTAGCACCCAGCACAATAAAACGGCACTTTTACACAACAATAGCAACGAAGATTATTGTTATAAACCAAGCACCTTCCTACACCAGCCTAACTGCACCGACACCAACTGTAATTCTTCTCCATTTCAACGAGCACAAAAAAAAATATATATATATATATATATATATATATATATATATATATATATATATATATATATATATATATATATATACACGAGAAAGAGAGAGAATGCTAAAAAGTTCTTGCGTCAACTCCACCAATCTGACGAAAGGATCAAACATAGAGGTTATTTGAAATCCTTTCCTGGTCAGACCAACTGAGAACTTTTCAGCAACCTTTCGTACACACACACACATGCACGCACACACATAAACATGCATATACACATACAAACACTCACATACACACACATATACACATATAAATGTGTATATTTTACACACACGCAAACACACTCACTCACACAGACACAACACACACACACACACACACACACACACACACACATATATATATATATATATATATATATATATCAGGGTGCTGCCTGATTTTTATAAAATTTCAAAGCTAAAATTAAAATTTATCGTTCGAAATCTTCCGTTAAATCAGTAAATTATTCCGCGGATATCAGAATTCTAAAACATTTTTAAAGACCTTTTATAAAATTTGAGCCCCAACGTATATACATCTATTTAGATAAATTCGCTTCCAACTTACACTAAACTAACAGAGACCCTTTTATTTGCAATATACGAAAGTCTCTTCCAAAGTAATGTTCTCTGTGTTGTTACGGTGGCCTACGATGTCAGCTTCTGGTGTGGCGATAGAGGTTTAACCTTCCTACTAATAACCTATAATATTTTTACTTTAACAAAATAGTGTCTAAAGTATAAATTGTGTGTCATTGAAAAAATTTCATTCCTTAGCTGAAAATTTACAGAGATTATTTAGATATGAGCAGAGCTAGACGGTGGACAATGCGTTTCAACAGTGTATTACAGTAACGTTCGTGTAAAAGTGTGTCGCTTGCATATTTTTACAAGATTGGCATGCAAACTTATTCGCGAAAATTTATAATTAAGTGTGGTTATTATATGGGAAATGCATTATATGCATTGTAGCTGAAAACTTACTCTATCCAACGCTGTCAATATGCTCTCTGTATGTGCTATAGTTTTCGTGGAAACAAAAAGATGACATTAATTTCGGGACTGTTCTCGTACATAAAAGACAAAATGAAATGTTTTTATGAACAGTTATTTTCTAAGTAATTCATGACAAGCTATCAAAATTAGTACCATATGATTTATTTATGAGAACTGACATATACGTCATTTTCCCCAAACTGGGAACATTAACCAGATCAAATATCAACTATAAATCTCTTTGTTACACGAGTACTCATTTCTTTTCTAAGTACTCAATATCTACCATTAGGTAAAATATTTGGGTGATACGTTTGATGCTTATTTTATATCAATAGTATCTGGTGTAATAGTGCTCGAATTTCTAAGGTAAACCTTTGTAAATTATTATTCACTTATCATTGGTATTGCTTCCATTTTAATTTGTTTCTTTTTATTTTAACCAGATCATTATTTTAATGATCGTTAAGTAAGTAGCTTAGGTCGGAAATAAAGAATAAACTTCAGATTTCTCTTCACATCCTTGATATACTGTGTATTCTTTAATTCAGTGTTGTAAAAGTAACAGGAATCGAGATGAAACAAATGTTAGTTAATAATAATATTTTAATTAATAATATGAAATACACTGATCAGCTTAGCTATTTGAAAATATAGAAGACAAATGTTTGTTATAGGATAAGAGCTCACTTGTTATTTCATCTTAAGTATTTGCTTGCAGAAGCTGTAGTCCAGAGGTTCTAGTTGTGATAAAGTTGTGTCAGTAAATACAAATATTTTCAATTTGTTCTAAACAAAAAAATACTGTGCGCAAACATTTAAATGAAATGAGATATTTTTGTATTTAAAAATTACCTTTTATATGGAGGAATGAGTGCGTTGGTTTGTCGTTGGTTAGTGAACATGTTTTTCCTTTGTTGAACATTACAAACACTGAATTAACACAAAGTTAACTGGTTACAAGGAGAAGCGATGACAGACTTTACAAGTCGATAATGGACACAGGAATCAATCGATTCAAGAACATTAAATCCGCATTTCAAAATCGTTGAAACAAACGACATCGACATAATTCCTTAAGTCAAGCAGCAATCAATTGTAAAATCGTGTATATTGATCTGGCCTGTTGAGAAACCAGTTGACTGTTTTTCTGATAAAATCGATCTGCGGGATTCAATAAGAATGTTAGTAAGTAGTGGCTTCCTTCAATCAAATTACATTCAAATGTTTTCCTTTTATCAATACAAATAAAATGTGCAATAAGAAATGATATAGACGAGTAAAGCCTTTCAGAACGCTAATTACACCAACAGCAGAGACTGGGTTTAACTCTCCGTTTGCTGCCTGAGTAGTAAGTATGCACCCGCCATTCAACAATGCAACTCTGGATCAGCATTAAAATATTGGAACAACTAAAATAAAACAATAAAATAATGAGCAGTATATTCCATAATGAGTATATTGAATATTTTATGTTCAAAGCAATCAGAAGGTATTTAAATAACTCAGTTAAAACGTTTATAAATCGATTTAGATATTTACTAAGTTTAGCTTAATCTGGTATAAGGCCAATATAAAAATGTATACAATGAAAATACAACTGACGTGAAATGGTCTGTTGATTTAACGGCGAGCGCTCACAAGCAAAAATCAATGTGGGTATAGTAATATTATTTTGATGCATTGTCAATTAATTTTTGACTAGTATTTATTTCATCTTAATTTTAGTTGAAGGATATGTTGATATGGTTATATTTATTCTTCTATCAAGCATAAAGCTCTTCTAGTTACAGAAAAACTAGATTTTTGAAACAATATGAATGCTAGTTCGACTCTCATCGAGAGCTTACCATCTATTTTCGATCAGCATTTTTTACTAGACTGACGGTCTGAAAACCTGCTAAAATTAAGATGAAAGAAGTACTAGTCGATCATGAAATAAGAGATGTGATCTGCGTGTTATTTATTCTTACAAATCCAAATTCTGTTTGTGGCTGCAGTCTTTCCTAAATGCATTTGAAAAGATATAAATTTCATCTGCTCTGTTTCCGGTTTCATTGTCAGTCATCTGACATCTTGTTATTAGAACACAATGATGACAGAAAAGTTTCAGAATGATGCTAGGCAATATTTTTGTAGCTTAAGCCAATGCATATAAGTTAAACTTATTCATCAAAAATTGAAAATTAAAACCACACTTGTAATCCATTTCTAATATATGAATATACACGTTTACGCTAATAATCACCGATACGCATGCATAAATTTGTATATAAACACACACATACATTTTAACACATATGTTGGTATGCACAAACGCACACATAAAACACGTTCTTGTTAATTAAACATTAATTTGATTCTAGAGCTACTACTGCTTTCATGAGAGAGCATTTAACAAGGGAGTTTATTCATAAGAACCAACGTCCCAAATGGGTAAATTTTGATATCGTTTTAGAACTTTTGAAACTAAATCTCAAAAGTTACAGAAAATAACTCCTCCGTTGGAAAGTATCTCGAATACTTTTAAGTCTGATATTCAATGAAATATGCCTGGTATGTAAATGACTTATGAATTTATAACTGTCCATAGGAATTTTAAATTTCTGTAAGAAAACTATGAATGAACGTACTTGTCAACATATCTCAATGACACGAACGAAAAACCTGATGCATTTCAAGTTTACTCAAATGTCACATTGCAGCAGAAACGACTGATTGATCATATTCCTTACAATAAACTGATTTAGAAGAGAAATATTATTCAAAATGAGAGCATTCTTCAAATTATCATGATTTGTAAGTACCTTTACGTATGTTTCGATAAAAATGTTCGTATTTCATGTCATTTTTATATCATGTGTAAACTGATTCATTTAACTTATTTTCAGTTATCACATTGCTATATTTAAAAACCTTCCTAGTTAATTTTCGGAGTAACATTAGAATGGGAAAAATTCAAAAAAATATTTTTCCAGCCTCAAATATAAGAGTATTCTATGATAAAAGTAAAAATAAAATAAAAATAGACTTCTAGGTTGATATCAAAAGATGAAAAACAAACTTGTAAGATTAAAAAGAACTTAATTTGACAAGATCGTACTAAAAAAATTGATAACTACTGTTGAATTTTAGATACTTCGCTTATTTGTAGTTACCAATTATTTTTCCCTTGGATACTTTTACTTATCTGTGATTCATAACTTAGTATATTTTAATTCGTTTATGATATATTTTAAATTTTCAGTTATGCTAATATTATATATGCCATTACATTATATTTTGAAATTAACAATATCACATTTCTCTTAAAATTAAAATTTGATCAATATATTCAAAATTTTCTTCATCCATTTTAAGGGATGAATTATTTATACATCTTTTATCCGACCAATACATGCATTTAGTTGTATTAATAAAACTTATTTTTTTAACATTTAGCTGTGCCTATTTAAAGAGAATCAGTATCGTGTGGATATAAAGGAATTTGTTGAGATGAATGTTATAGATTTAGGAAGAATTAAAGCTTTGCAAATGTATCTGTCTCCTTTTAATGTTATGTAAAAATATAATTTCGAGAATAATGTCTAACCATATATATATATATATATATATATATATATATATATATAAAACTTCAAACGATATTATTAGTAGAAACTTGTATTTGAAATAGATTCCCCTGTTTTATTTTTACTTTAAATGGTTTGTATTACGTTTATCGGACTGCCTATTCGAGAAATCATCACCAAGAAAATGTCCTCTCTCTCTCTCTCTCTCTCTCTACTTTATTGGGACCTCTCGAATGCGCAACCGATAGATGTAATATACACTGTTTA